TAGTTGGACTAGAAAGGAAGTACTTAATATGTACTCATAAGCTGCTGCTTTTAGTTCTAACTTCTGGGGCCAAGAACAAGACAAATCCCTCCCCCACATGACAGCCCTTCAAATACTTGAAGACAGCCACGACGTCCCCTCCAGGCCTTCTCTTTGCCAGGCTAAACATCCCTACTGCCTTCAATTAATCCTCTGGTGGCACTGCCTCAAGCCCTCCACCCTCCTGTTTGCCTGAATCTGTCTATATGCCTTCCAGTTCATACAACGTCCTTCCTAAAGATAGGGAATGGAAGAATCCACTTTTTGTTGGGGGGAAAATTAAATCCAACCTTCTTGATTAGTGATTGTAATCATGATTTACATTTTTTGATTAAAATCAGTTCCAGCTTTTTTTTTAATATGATGAATATTTTTGTGATGATATAAAAATACATTGGAATGAGGTTTGTTAAAAAAAAAAGACAACACCTATATCCAGAGACTCAGCAGAGATCCCTGCTGTTATGACCACTGGCTGGGGCTGCACAGAAGGCTACCCTCTCAGACGACTAAATCTGTTAAAATGAAGTTCTACAAAGCTTTTTATAATCACAAAGGCAACTGAGAGGCAGAGCACCCACTAAAGCCAACGCTCTCTGCTCGGCAAGCCCCTTGGGAGTATTCACGATCTTAGATTCCCCAGACTCCTTATGGGTGTTTCCCAGGCTCTCCAAGGATCCAGAAACTCATCTTACTTCTGCTTTTAGTGACATGAAAGAAAGGGGAACAATAAAAACAAAGGGAGATATGAAACTTGGATTCCTCAGAGACAGTAGACAGCAAAGTGTGATGGTAGAAGATACTGTAGTTTCAATAAATGATACCTTCTTAACTATTGAGCATGGACAACCATTTTCTTTGTTTAAAAAAAAGTGTTATTGATGTACTTTGCTTTTACATCACAGTGAGCCCTGGAGATGAGGGAGAAACACCTTCTATGCCTATTCTAGACTAAACCCTCCCATGTGACAAAGAAAAACAATCCAAACATCCAATTGATTGATCACGTCTGAAAATATACACAACATTCTGCTCTACTAGACCCCCACCTCTTTACCATGAGGAGAGCAGTATGTTTCATCATTTGTTTTTGTTTGTTTGTTTGTTTTTAGGACATTCAGTTACTGAGAATTTGACTTTCTATTGGTGATCTTTTCATTCACATTGTTGTAATCAGGGATATTTTTCTTTTGGTTCTACTTCACTTACCACCCATCATGCATCTCTCTACTGCCCCTTTGGAAACCCACATGTTGGATTGCTCAGAGACTTGTGGTATTCCAAGATTTGTATCCATACATCATTGTTCTGAGAACATTCATACAGAAAATAGAGATTTTGTGCAGGAAGCAGTTCGGAATTATTAAATGCATTTTACAACTTCCCAAATACAATCTAGTTAGATATCTTCCTCCTCTTCAATTCTGGGTCCAAATCACTCCCCATTGACAGCATATTTGCCTACCCCCAGGTATATGTACCGATATTCTACCTCAATGGACTGGTCACCCAACATAAGCCATTGTTAGGTAATGGACTTGTTTCATTCATTTAGTTTTTAGTGTATGAATGGTTAGGTAGATTTCTCTTGAATAATCACGAATTTTATTGGGCATTTCCTGCAATGTTCTAGGGCTTAAGGAACATAGGGAAGACCTCACCATCTAAAGGAATCTCCTTTCCTTTAGGATCCTGCACAAGAAATTCGACACGACAGTCGGGCAAGCACACATCCTCGATATTAGTAATCAGAGGATCATTAAACAAAACAAAAATCCCAATCATATTTGTCATAGAATCCTCTAGGCATTCAATGTCTGGATGCTTGCCTTTTAGGCTTAGTTTTGCTTCAGGTACTCTGTTGGTCCATATTCCTTAAACTATAGTTCCAGAGTTCCCACCACTGTGTGTGTTCCCTTGTTGATAATCAGGGGACACAATTAGTTTCAAAGCAAATGCATTTGCTGAAATGGCATCTTAAGAAACATCTCTCTCTTATAAACCTGGGGCACACAATCCCATAAACATACACAGCACCAGCAAGGAAGGTAGACCCAAGTCCCACGGCACTCACAGAGAAGGCACAATCAAGGAGGGACAACTCTCCCCTCTAAATCTGCCAGGTCTGGTACCAAGCAAACAGAGTGAGAACAAGTCATCTGAAGCAAGCTTTGCCTCCAGAATCAGCCTCCTCCCCAACCTCTCAACCAATCCATTCCAGGTAAAAGGTCAAATTCAATTTGCCAGGTACTTCCTAAATTATGGTGACTAATGAGGTTTTTAAACTTGCAGTTTTGTAGGCCAGGGAATAATCCATGCAATGATCATTTCCCCAATAACTACAAAACACTGGTGTTCAAGGCTTGCTTCTAAATATCTTCTACTCGTCCACAGAAATGAATGGGCTGGGAAAAAGGTACAGAGATGTTCTTTACCCAGGAGTCAAGGTCATGTCTCTTTGGATCAATTCTGATGAATTCTTGGTTTTTCTATAGGCAAGTGCAGCCATTTAAGGTTTGCATAAGGCTAAGAATGAAAGAGATTTCTGCCCAAGCTCTTACATAGGCATAAAGATTCTGAGTAATCTCCAAGACATAGGCCTCTTATTTTCAAACCTGAGTCATATTTTCCTTTTTCATTTTTTTTTTTAAACCATTATCTCCTGTGGCTACCTTCCCAGTGATAACAATGCGTATAGGATTATAAACTGAGCTTGGGGGCTCTTATCCTGTTTTCCAGACCTTTTCTGACTTTTCATCCTTTGAAACAGACGTTGCCACGAAAATCACAATTATTTTCAATGATCTTTTTGCTTATGCTCATCACGAGCACTGCACAATGGAATGACCAGGTTCCCAGGGCAATGGTATTTCTTTTTGCTTTGAATAGATGATAAAACCAGCTTTACTAGCTCTTTTCTTTTCCCCTCCAAGGAGGACCTATGCACCACACTTTCATTTAGCCGTTATTTCAAAATGCTTGCCTCACAATCCTGTGAGGGGGGTAGTGCAAATATTATTATTATTATTCTAATTTTTTCAGATAAGGACACTGAGGCTCACAAGTTTAAGTGACTTTCCCAATGTTACAAGGTTGTCCAGTGGAGAGTTGGGACTTCTATACAATGTACATTCCAATTTCTACAGGAACCTAGACAATTTACTTGTAACATTTCAACCAGAAAACCAGGAGCAAAGATACTTAACTGGATGAGTTGCCCAGGACCAGGTTCAGTGGGCACCTCCTCCATGCCTACTGGGCACATTTCCTTATCCTTTCCAGTTGAAGCTCCTTCTTCCATCCTCCCAGGAGTTGAGAAGCTATTTTGTATTTACCATCTGTGCACACTTAGCTCAGAGACTGCTTTTGTTTCTCTTTTATTTCTAGCATTGGGCTCCACACTTAGTAGGTACTTAACAAATACTTTTTGAACTGAAATGAATTTAATTGATTCCAGAAGCCTCAAAAAGGGTTCTTTTCTGGGGCTGGTGGAGCAGTCCCTATAATCTCAGCTCCTGAGGGAGGTCCAAACTGATGGATCAGTTGAATTCAGGAGTTGTGAGCTGCAGTAAGGCTAAAGCCCATTACTAAATCCAGCACCAATATCATGAGGCCCCAGCAGAGGACCACCAGAGTACCCAAGAAAGGGCAAACAACCCCACGTCAGAAAAACAGAGCAGGTGAAAGCTTTTCCTATTGATCTGTAGTGAAAGATTAGGAGATCTAGTCCTCGAAAAACAAAGTAAATATATTGGTAGTCTGGTGAAGCTTATGGACCTCTTCTCAGAACATTTGTTAATGGTTAAAATAAAATGTATAGGATTACAAAGAAAACAAATTATACTAGAATAGTTAGTATATATAAATATATTTGTATGCATATATGTTCACAAATGTATATATACACAAAAATATAACTTTATATGTACACATATTTAAAGCTCATGGGACCCAAATTAAGAACTTTTGCTTAAAGGTCATTATATTATAATCACTTTGTGTATATATATATATATATATATAAACATATGTAAATGTACATATATACACATTTATATATATATATATACACATACATACACACATATTTAAAGTTCATGGACCCTAAGTTAAGAACCTTTGCTTAAGGGTTATTATAATTTTATATACATGTATTTCGTAGTTCAGTTGGTCAGACTCTTCTCGATCCATTTGGGATCGTGGCAAAGATACTGGGGCGGTTTGCCATGCATGCACGCATGCATGCATGTATATATATATGTGCATGTATGACACATACACACACTGAAAGTTCACAGACCCCAGTTAAGAACCCTGGCTCTGGGGCCGCTTTCTGCCGAGGCATTCTGCTCCCTCTGCAACAGTCCTGATCATGGGCTTGAACTTTCTGGGGCAGGAGGGGAGGACGTGCGTGTGTCCTGTCTTTTCACTTGTTTCTTGTCACTCAGGACGGAGAGCTCTTCGACCACAAACTCAGAATGGCAAGCACGCACAGCTAGCGTTCTCGGAGCAACCCCGTGACCCGGTGGTGCTGCTGGTGGGCGCCAGTGCTCGGGCCAGGTCAGTAGCCCCATCTAGCTGGCTCGCTCGCTGACCGCCCCCTTTCGTCCCCTCATTAGCACGCGGGGAGCCCCGGAGCTCAGCGGGCCCCGCAGCACGTAGGCGCTCTGCTTCCGGGCCTCGCGCAGCGCGCTGTCTCCCGGGTCGGGAGCTCGAGCCCGGCCTCTACCACCTTCCCCAGGGGGAGGGGTGTAGCAGCGGCTCCTTCCGGCCTTTTTGTTTTCCGTAGGGCTGCGGCTCCAAACTCTGGCCTTGGCTTGGCGCCAGAAGGAGGAACAACGGACACAAAATCTCGAGAATCGCATTCTCCGGCCGCTTCGCGCCTAAAACTAAATGTAACCACGCCCCTCTCCTCCTCCCGCCCTGCTCCGCCTCCACCTTTGGCCCCGCCCCGAGCGGGGGGGAGGGAGACGCCGGAATAGACTCTTTCTCCCGCCATTTTTCAATTGCACAAGATATTTTTTCAGGGAACTGCAGAGCTAACCTCGTATCCAGGCCCAGCCGACCAAGCCGAAGGCTAATTAGTGCCTTGGGTGTGGGGGAGAGAGCTGGGCGGTTAATGTGCTTGAGTCTCCCGGGGAGAAGGTGATTAACATGCTCTCCCACAAGAAGAGGCCGGCCGAAGTTCACTGCGATCAGTGGGTGCTCGTTGCACCAGGTAAAGGACCCAAAAGCAGTCGCCGGCCCCCACCCACTTGGCCGGGAAGGGGAGGGCGGGCGGGGAAGTGGGCGCACGCGTGCGAGCTCGCGGTTTGGTTGCACAACCCCTCCCCCACCCCCAGAAGCCATGCCCCGGCACCCACGCGACTGCGCGAGCTCCCCTGGGCGCGCGCGCTGCTCCCGGGCTTTCCTTTCCCGGGGATTCGTAGGGAAGTTTCCCGGGGAAAGGGGCGGAGCTTCAGCTCCTGTGCCTGCGCTTTGTGCAATAGGGAATTCCCTCCTGGGTTACTTCCATGAGCTCCTCAGTACTGAGCATCCTAAGGCTGGGGGTGGGACCGGGAAGAGGGGAAATAGCTCCCGCAGAGCACCTGTGGGGTCACCTGGGCAAGATGAGATGCAGAGTTATTGCCCCGCGACAATCATTGCTTCTTCGGCTCCCCTCTGGTTCAGTGCCAGGTTATAAGCATTTATTTTACCAAGGGCTTACAATAAGCATTTATTTACCATGGGTTGTGTTTAGAGCGTGGTGCTAAGGGCTCTGGAGGAGAGATACCATCTGATGAGACCCAGTGCCTGCCCTCAGGCTGCCTAAGGTGTGGTAATTTATTATAATGCAACCTATTCATGTATTAGGTGTGGTAACCCTGGGCACCGTTGCCTCAGTTTTGCAGAACGGTCGCATGAGATCCGCCTTGAAAGCAACCATTGCTTTCAGTGCCCTTTTTGTGCCAAAATGTTTCCCCTTTCATTGATGCAGAAGCAAGATGAATTTCAGTTGGATCCTTTTTTGGTAACCATCTTTCCTCTTGCTTTATGCATGTTATCAGATTATTAAGACCAGATCTATGTCTAACCAAATCGGACCAAATTCAAATTTTGGTCAAGCCATGTGATATGTGATGATGATGGTAACAATAGTTGGCATTTGTACTTCGTGTCCCAAGAGTCTTCAAGACAGCTTACAGTTGCACTAAGAATTTTAAGACACTTTGTATAGTACCTTCAAGTTTGCAGTGCTTCGAGTACACTGTTTCATTTGATCCTAGATACAGGGTTAAGTACTGCTAGTGTTCTTATACCCATTTTACAGATCCTGAAACTTGAAGCCTAGAGAGCTTAAGCTTCAAGTGATTATGAAGTTGGCTTTTGCCCTCCTTTTCCGAAGTAGGTACAAAACTGTTTCCTTTGCATTGATTCAGCAGCAATAGGAGAGATAATAGAGCTTTTGTAATCAAAATATTTCACAAGATTGTAGCTTTAGAGCTGAAAGGGACCTTAGAGGTAATCACTACCATAACCTCATTTTACAGGTGAGGAAACTGATGCCTACAAAGGTTAAGTAGCTATTGAAATATATATATATATGTATATATAAAGCCAAAATATTTGTTGGGTGCTGTTGATATATATGTGTGTGTATATATATATTTATATATATGTGTATATATATATATTTATATATATATGTATATATAGTACTTAAAAAAAACATAAGGAAGTGAAAAACTGGACTTGTCTTTTGATTTCCTCTTTTTATTGGGAGGAGGAGAGAAAAGGGTGGGTTTCCTTTCTTGAAAAACCCTTTAGACTGTAGAAAGGCCTCAAAATAATGGGGGCAAAGTTAGAGACTTTATTTTGTTGCCTTTGTGTTTTAACTTCTATGGGATAGATTCCCTTGTCTCTGGTTGCACCTCAGGGTTTTTAGAAGTCTAGAGTTGTTTGCTTGAAAATACCCCTTTGTAATGAAGTCCTCTTATTCTGGGTTTGAACTAGCAGGCTGGAAACACCTGTTGACTTGAAAAGTAAGGAAAAGATCCACCACTTTAGCTTTGCATTAAGACCTGTGCTTCTGGTGAGGCTAGGATTCGAGTTGTTTAAAATGACTGAGGTCAGTAATGTCCATAGGAGTACAATGAGGTAGGCATTCCTTTCAGTGTCCAATTCTTCCAACCTTTAGCAGTCACCCTGTGCTTTAAGATGGGGTTGAGGTTGCAAGGGTATTATCTATAGCCTCACTGGCTCTGTGGAGAGAATGAGCAAGTGGAATTGTGAAGGGAGGTTTGAAAATACTGGCTGGAAGTCAAAAGTGTTTTTGCTTTTTTATGGGATGGTAATTTTAATGGTATAACATCGAATAAGAGGGAAACAGGCTGCTCACTGTATTTAGAGATTCAGCCTCAGTAAGCGCCATCTATTCTTGCAGTAAATTTAAGTTGGTGATAAAGTAGTTGGCAAAAACCCAGGAAATGAAAACATTTTATACTGTAGATGGTGAAAAAGTTTGCATGATAAAGAAGCAATCTGACAACTGTTTTCGTAAGATTATATAGAACAGAGCCCATGGGGTGGGGAGGAGACATAGTAGAAATTTGTGGATACTCAAATATTTGATGTGAAATTTAAGAATTTGATTTAGGTCAAGACTCGAAAGCTTCACATTTGAAAGACTCATTCTTCCTTTTGCCTCAATCATATCAGTTATTAAAAATTTAAATATGGGAACTCTACTCGGTGGAGCTGAAAGTACATTTGTTAATTCTTAAATGTATAACATTTCGGTGTAGGAGACTCGGTTTCAGGTTTTAGTCAAAATACTCATTTTTTTCCATAGCATAGTGAATGGAGTGAAAAGCCAGGAATATCTAGGTTCATGTATCACCTCTGACACATCCTGCCTGTGTGGAATCAGCAATGTCAAATGGGGACGTTAAATTGTATATAAGGATCCCTGTTGTCCCCATTCTTAGAAAACCACATATTAATGTCAATATTCTGTTGTATTTTTATTTTGTTAAATTTTTTTAATTACATTTTGATCTGGCTCTGGATACACTTGGACGTGGGAGCTACCTGTTTGTCTCAGCTCTTTGAGTAAAACTAAATTGTGAAATGGTGCCCCCCTGCCCCGTTATAGGGATTTTTTCCCCAGTTCCCAGTACCAAATCCACTCTCTATCCCAGTCTGAAATATTAGCATGCTTTCGTTGGGTACAGGGATCAGATAGAGTAAACAGACACAGACCTAGCACCACCAGGGCTTAATATACCCCTGAAAGACAGGGGCTTTTTCATAGCCCTTTAAAAAGAAAAGAATAAAGAAACTTTCTCCATAATCACCGTTTGGTTTATGTTTTAAAGAGGGGTTCAGTTTGATTTGTGTTAACTCTTTGGGAAAGCTGTTAAAGGAGCAGATGAGGAAATTTTATTGCCAGATCAGAGTTGGGTCAATATTTGAGTTAGGCTAATTTATTCCATTTCCCAGCCCAGCTTTTACTGCCATCTACAGGCTTCTGAGACCCACTTCACAGTTAAGGATCTGGTGCTCCCTTGGTGGGGCTAGGGGTGGAGTTGAGGATCAGCTAGTCAGAATCGGAGTTTGTCATTTCCCCGAGGTTTAGGTCTTACTAATGACTGGCCAAAATAGAGTGTAGTTGATAATAAGTAAATAATAATGCGACCCTTCTAAGACCGATCCCAGGAAAAGTGTGTTAGTGTTTTCCTGTGGATGTGGGGATGTGATAAATTAACTGAAGAAAGAAAAAGACACTTTTGGCCAAGTGTTCACTGTAGCTAAAATGAAGTTTATTTTTAAATTGCTGTGAAATTTAATAGAATTTCCTTGTTGAATGAAGCAGGCTGTATTAATTAATGAAAAATTATGTGCATAGCACCTATCCTCTTATGAATTAATCAGCCCAGGCCAGTTACTGGAAAACATCATTAGAGACAGGAAACAGAAATGTAAATAGAATTAGAAAGAAGCTTATTAGAAATGCAAATATTTAAGTTACTGAAACTCAACAGATAGTCATCCATTTCCATTTTTGCATACAATTTCAAAGCAAATCAAAGACTACTACATAATATTTCTCATTTCTGAGACTTTCCTTACTACAACTCCATGAAGTAAATAGTTGGAGTTGTCTTATCCCCACTTGACAGATGGGAATTTGAGGCTAAGTGTCTCATGTTCAGAAAATGTTTGCCCCTGTCCTCAGACTCTTAATATTGTATCCTTCCACTGTCAGGCTGAATTACATTAACAAGTAAATTTTTTTTTAAAATATCTCTAGGGTTTCTGCTATTTGGAAGACTCTCCAAGGGGATACAAGTGTCTTTGCCCTTCAGGTTTTTAACATCTAATTGGGCACACAAGACACAGGCAAAGATAATGTTAAATGTAATAACCTATTAGAAGATACTTGTGGATATCCAGATTTTGAGAAATTTGACTTTAAGCAGAGAAAGATAGCAGATGAGTTTCCCATTTGGGTATAATTTTGACTTATCCTGCTAATAGGAAGAATCAGTAATACTTTTTGCTTTGAATAGCCCTAAATATTTTCTCAAGTTATCCAGGGCCCAATTTCCAGCTACATATGCCTACCAGCAAATGGATCAGTTTCCATAATGGATTGTCATATCTACACCCCTAGGAATGTACTGAAGTTTTCCATCCTTTTTTTCTGTTCTTGCTCCTCTAGAGATAACAGATGTTTGGGTCATGTTTATTATAGTTTCCCATGGGATGCATCTTCAACTGCTAACAGCTGTAGTTTGTTGGTGTAGACCTGAGTTTGGATGGTGAAACCTAGAGCCTCCCTGGGTCATAGGGTCATAGATACAGATACAGATCGTAGACTCATCGAGGTTGAGCTGGGAACTTCTCTCATCTCTGGTAGAGGTGAAGCCACTGTGCCTTTTAGAATCAATAAATATTAGCAATAGAAAGTACTTTAAGGACTAGTCTAGTCCCATCTGCCTTTTTTTTTAATACGCCGACACGTGAAGATCTATCTCAGCAGAGAGAGGTGGTGAATGTTCAGTGATTAAAAATAGCTATTACAGATGTTGGTTGCACAGCTATAGAAACTCAGGTCAAATGAGCCAAGTAAATCTGTTAGAGTGAATGGATCTTTAGTGCATAACGTTAAAGAAGAATTTTTAAATGAAGTAATTTGTCTTTACTGTAAGGTTTTTTTTTTTTTAAAACTTAAGT